GGAAAAACAGAGATGTCATCAAGTCTGGTACCGACGTCAGCATTCTCAGAACCTTGAGATGCTGCAACCAATAACAAGTAAGTACTAAGGCTATTTTTACACAGGTTACCTCCCCTAGTTCAGTGCTCTTGGGAAGTAGTTTTTTCCTGCTTCCCCACAACATCGTGGTGCATTTGTGCACCTCTTTGGGCTCCCTTGGCTTTTCTCTGATCTTTCTCACACCTGCTTTTGTTCTGAAGTTTTGGGGGAAATAGCAATAAAGCCTGGATAGCTGCTGTGTGGGTGAGGAAATTCGGATTTATCTGGCCCACATGGCAGCCATTTTCCCTGTCCTTTTAAATGGCACTAGAATATTCAATATACCATTTTACCAGTAGGAGTTGCAGGTTCTCTGAATTCCCAGCTTTCATTTTAAGAAAAGTAACTCTCGCCCTTTCCTTTGTGGGGGATAGAAGGGAAAAGGCATAGGTTTGCAAGGGAAAGGGCTAGGGACCTACTCTTTTTAAAATGAAAGCTGGGAATTTAGAGAACCTACTACACCTATTGCTACAATAGTATAGCAATACAACTGTATTCTAGTTCTGATTTTAAAAAAAGTAAATGCCTTGGTAGCCCAGGGGAGGGGTGGATAGACACTACAGGTGGAGCCTGCCATCTGGAAGCCCCACTGATATTATGCTTCATCTCAAGCCACACCAGGAAAAGGGAAACCACAAAACTCCATTCCCATGTAGAAGCCACCTAGGTTGGACGAACTGTAAATTCACCCAACACGTAAACTGGCACCCACTCAGGATTTTTAGCTGTAAAAGCTAACCGGGGGGGTGGGGGTGGGGGGATGAAATATGTGGCAACAAGAGCTAGTATTACATAGTGCTCATCAGTGTTGGACTATGGCCAGGAAGACCACTCAGGAGGTTCACCAGCTCACCTGGGGCCATCCGCACTCTCACCCATCACATAAGGTTTTTGTGGTGATAAAATGGAGGAGGTGAGATAATGTTTACTCCCCTAGTGGGAAGGACGGCATTAAAAATAAAACAGATGGGCCCTGGATTGTCTTTTTCATAGAAAAGCACCCTTCTCCAGTCTAGAAAAGAACATAACATTTATTAAGACACACACTTCTGTTTGTATCAGCTCACAGTTACATCATTTATCATCTTCCATATTAAAAAAAAGAATCCAGATTCCAATTCAGCTGAAGGCTGTTGTTACACTGTAACCTTGAACAGGATACCATAACAACTGAAGCCATGGCTGAAAACATCACTTCACACTTGCTTAGTACATTCTGTGCAGCCGAAGCTTTTGACTAAAAGTGCCAGCGTGCCGAATGGAGCCAAATGCCAAAGCCACCCTACAAGGATTTGGTTACAAGCTGGCTGATGAATCAAAATGCATATCTCTTGGTGCATAAGTGTTTTGAAAACAAATCTAAAAGAGGAAGGTTTTCCCCTACTGAAAAGAGACTATTTTCCATGGAAGACAAATGCAAAATGAGGAAAATCTGTATGCTTGTGGTTGACCATAAATGGAATTATTTTCCGTTAACACTTCACTAAAAGCTGCCGTCTTCACTGGAAAATCTGATTTCAAAAAAAGGATATTTCTTTTGTCAGAACTGAGTATGACTATTTCCTATTAACTTTAACATCTTTACTGAACGTGACCTATGTTTACTTGGTTAGGAAAAGTGTATTTCTCCCTCCCCCCCCTTTGAACCCTTGGTTTAAGAAAAATGTACCACTCAACTGGGCTTGGTTACAGTGACCAGATCCCAAGATGAGATCAATCCATTTATACCACAATCCCTAGGCTGGCACTGGCCACAGTAGCAGGACATTGGTGAAATGCTGGCACTGCCAGCTGGTATCCAAAGGGGTATTGGGGCATCAGCAAGGGCAGCCTGCCAGCAGCCATCCACCATAATATGCTGTTGTTGCCCTGACTGAACTCCGAAATGCCAGTATAACACATAGTCAGCTCCCTCAAGGCGTGGCTGTTAATCATTTTAATGTAACTGATACAATGCAAACACAGAATTGATCTATACAAAATGGGTTGAATACAACCAGCTGTTCAACTGCTGGAAAAGGAAGGAGTCAACCTCTTAGACTACACCTGCATGTACGAAAGCCGTGTAGGATGGGAGCTACAGGAC